TTCCTTCATTACATCAATTCCTCCAAAGGAATATACTGTACAAGATACTTCGTCGGCTTCTTATACTGCCGTCGACAGCCGCATAATAATAATAATAATAATAATAATAATGTTGATGATAACGGTGATGATGATGATAACGATGACGATAATGACAATTGTAATAGCGGTACTAACAGTAGTACTAATAATAGTAATAATAATAAATAATAATAGTAGTAGTAGTGGCGGTGGTGGTGGTGGTGGTGGTGGTGGTGGTGGTGGTGGTGGTGGTGGTGGTGGTGGTGGTGGTGGTGGTGGTGGTGGTGGTGGTGGTGGTGGTGGTGGTGGTGGTGGTGGTGGTGGTGGTGGTGGTGGTGGTGGTGGTGGTGGTGGTGGTGGTGGTGGTGGTGGTGGTGGTGGTGGTGGTGGTGGTGGTGGTGGTGGTGGTGGTGGTGGTGGTGGTGGTGGTGGTGGTGGTGGTGGTGGTGGTGGTGGTGGTGGTGGTGGTGGTGGTGGTGGTGGTGGTGGTGGTGGTGGTGGTGGTGGTGGTGGTGGTGGTGGTGGTGGTGGTGGTGGTGGTGGTGGTGGTGGTGGTGGTGGTGGTGGTGGTGGTGGTGGTGGTGGTGGTGGTGGTGGTGGTGGTGGTGGTGGTGGTGGTGGTGGTGGTGGTGGTGGTGGTGGTGGTGGTGGTGGTGGTGGTGGTGGTGGTGGTGGTGGTGGTGGTGGTGGTGGTGGTGGTGGTGGTGGTGGTGGTGGTGGTGGTGGTGGTGGTGGTGGTGGTGGTGGTGGTGGTGGTGGTGGTGGTGGTGGTGGTGGTGGTGGTGGTCGTAGTAGTAGTAGTAGTGGTGATAGTAGTAGTAGTAGTAGTAGTAGTGGTAGTAGTAGTAGTAGTAGTAATAGTGGTAGTAGTGGTAGTAGTGGTAGTAGTAGTTGTAGTAGTAGTAGTAGTAGTAGTAGTGGTAGTAGTAGTAGTAGTAGTAATAGTGGTAGTAGTGGTAGTAGTGGTAGTAGTAGTTGTAGTAGTAGTAGTAGTAGTAGTAGTAGTAATGGTGGTAGTAGTAGTAGTAGTGGTGGTAGTAGTAGTAGTATTAGTAGTAGTAGTGGTAGTAGTGGTAGTAGTAGTTGTAGTAGTAGTAGTAGTAGTAGTATATTTATTTATATATGTATATATATATGTATATAAAATCGAACGTGCGTGCTTGGGCAACGACGGCTGTAACAACAGATCGTGGAATATAATGGGGGAAAGGGAATAAAATATTGAGCATAGGACGAACATCGAGTTCATTATTGTAGCGCAAGAGAATTGGAAATGGAGCGCTCGAAACTTTCGTCGTGTATTCTTTGAATGACAGGAAGCTGAGCATAATAAGCTTAATCCTGCGTCACCGATAAGGAGCGAGGAAGGAATAACGTGAATATAGATAGAACTGGCAGCTCGTCGGGCACAATGTTTTCTCTCCTACTCTAGCATATGTGTACAAAAATAATTTTATATGAGATTCACGCTCACATATTATATGTATTTGTCCTTTTAAATTTTATCATCTCGGTTATCTTGGGAGATCATCTTAGCATTGCTTATGATAAGCCGAGGAATGGACACTTGTGCTTGTGCGGGGTTTATTGAAACAATTGTTTATTTCTCTTTTTTCGTACATAGGTAAATATGATTCTTTATATATTTATATATTTATAAAACTTTAGGCGATAAATGGCTGATTCGCATATAACATTGTAATCGACAGTTTTCACACGAATGACGGTTTTACGTTTAACAAAAAATTGAAAGAATAATTAAATACTTATTTCTAGTATTAAAAGTATTTTATCTTACTCGATGTCCTTCAATATCATATGCATTAAAGTGTCGTTAAAATATAATTAAAATAAAAATTAATTTATTAATTTTTGTACGGTAAGCACATAAAATTGACGATGTTATTACATTATTTCCATTGAATTTAATTAAATTTCGCCAAAATGGTTCATTTAGAACAAATATAATGATAATTTAAGTTCTTACGTGTGTGATTAAGCATTACATAAACTTATTGTAATAAGCATAGATTGCAATTTCAGTTAAAATATTTTATCCTCATAGTTTATAAATCGTTGAATAATACACTAATGTTTAAAAAGTAAGAAAAGCCAAGTTTCAATCGTAATTGGAATGTAGATATTCACTTTTACAGTAAAGTGTCATTCATTGTCACTTCTCTCTATCATATTATGATTATATTCTGGAAAATAAAGTGCGATTGCTTACAGTTTATTTAAAGTGACTGTTAAAATTTTCACGTGAGAATGTACTTCCACAATTCAGCGAATACTTACTCAGCATCTTGGAACATTTCGTAGTCCTCGTTTGCTCATGGTAAAAATTCGAAACTTGATCTCTCCAACTGAAATTTCATTTCTTCAAAATGAAATTCTACTCACAATGTAACGGGTATCGATTTTTTTTTTTTTTTCGACGATTTTACTTTTTACTTCGATCGAACAACTATCTTGCTGCACGACGTGGACCGAATTTCATTACATAACTGTGCTTTATCTCATTTCAATTCACTACTACGAATAATATAACATGATTTTTCGAGCGATCATTCTAATTGATAAGGTTACACACACTCTGCACATGGGCTCGACATGATTCGACAAATCAATTGTCGTACATTATACAGCACCGAAATACGTAAGAACATTTTCTAATGCGCCGTCCTCTTTAAATCACTTAGCATCCCTTTCATGTAGAACCATAAGTTGTTGCAAGCAGATCTATCGATGTCGATTTATTCTTGAAAGTTCTGAAAATTTATCGGCACTCGGCGGTCCTATGTCTAACGCTCCATTGATTGTGCGTGACTCTGTACGCGTGTGCGTGCGAATACCGCACATACGTGAACGAGTGGGCCATTGGACCTTCGCACTCTCGCCGCTGAGCAGCCACACCTATTTTCAAAATAAATTCGCACGCTCAACGCGGATTTTGTTATATTTGCCTCGTCGAATTAGAGAGAAAGTTTAATTATGCTTGTGAATTTGACAGAGAATAGTGAAGCGCTCGGGTCGTAAACTTCGTAGGTGCGCGACGAACGTCGAGACGTCGTTTGTACCGCAACAATATTATTACACGAACGCTACGGCTGTCGATTTATCTTCCGTGTTATGCCCAATCTCATTACAACTGCTTTAAAGGATCGCGTATGTATAATGATTGGACGCGACAGGAACATACCTCGAGATGATCTTCGCCAAGGTCCCTCTTTTAGACTCTACTCTACACTATGAGAGTGGAGAACGCTAATACTAATAAGACATGAAAATTTCTTCAAACACGAAGATCCATATATGCTAGATTTATGTTAGTAAATGTGTTGTCCGACTTTGCTGGCTAAATGATATTATCCCGCAAATATCATTGGGAAGCAATGATAATTGAATATCCACTAGACTAAGAAGCATTCTAATCGCGTGTAATCATTTAATGAATTTGAGATATCGGTAGAATAAAACTATTTTCGAAAAACTGCCACTAGCGTAAAATTATACCTCGTTTACATGGAATTATCCCTAGGACTACGTATAATTAAAATACTATTAGAAACTAAGATACAATTGCGGAGAAAAAAAAGTCTATGAAAACAGCATTGTTACAAGCACTGGTGAATTAATCAATGCATGATTACTCTCCTAGTGATATGACTGTTTAGTATATGTTTGTTCTGCGTCCGCACTGAGACGAGCTTTTCTTTTTCTTTTCTTTTCTTTTTTTTTTTTTTTTTTTTTTTTTTCAAGCTCAACGATGATTCAACAAACGCCGCGTTCCCTTCAAGTTTCGAAAATTTTCATCGGAATTTTCTCTCAGAACGAAGCTGATTCTACGAAAGTATTTAAGGTTAACCATTTTTCTTCCCCTAATATAAATATAATGGCGAGCATAAACAGGTAGAGAAGGTAATTGATAAATTTGATCGATAAATGTGCTGTCGATTTTCGTGGCGCACACCGATATATTTCAATAATATAGAGCGACGAGGACTCGAATACAACTTTTCTCGTCACTATCTTCCTTACCTCTAGTTTCTTCCTTCGAAATTCAAAATTCTCACTTGCATCATTCAAGCGAAACGTGATCATTCCATTAAATATAACTATATCACTTTAATAATCATTCCTTACATTTTTCATAATATACAAACGGTAGCATTTGCGTTTTTCTCTACATTCAAGTTGCTCAATTTTATTTCAATCACGCATATTGTATGTACAAAACGAACCTAGGGCCGGTCAATCATAATCGATCAATTAATCGTATCTTTCCTACCCAAATTAACTTTAATTTTATACAAAGGATTTCAAAGCATTCAAGCTCAAAGAATTTTGAATAAAGTAACGATTGATCTTTTATGATCGCGCAGCGTTAACAAGATGATCTCATTACAAATCGATAAACAGAAGGCACTTGGAAAATTATCGCGGCGATACTTGATTCAGCACTTAACAGCACTTGACACTCTTCCTTCTCCCATTAGACGATATGTGTCGAGATAAGGGATGCGCACGCATCGGGCTACGTTTCATCTTGGACTTGTAACGCCCAATTATATTCTATGCTCGGGAGGGGGGGGGGGCGGACAAGACACGCGCAACTCGCAACTAATTATTTACTGCGATTCTCGACAGTCGAATCGATGATCAACAATGCGATCCGCGATCCTTACTTTCCATACTCCACAATAAATCATTTCTTTATCGTCAAGGTGGATAAAAATTGTAGTTTCGAGTGTCTCGAATGGGAAGTTTACACGAGGTCGCCAGCTCGGTCTAACGCTTACGAATAAAAAAATAACCGAGGAGTTCGAGAGAGTGTTTGGACGGGTAGAACGCGGGGGCGAGGATTGGCTAGATATATAGAGATAAATAAAGTTAGAGAGAGGTAGGGAGAGATAGAGATAGAGATAGAGAGAGATAGAGCGAGAGAGAGAGAGATAGAGAGAGAGATAGAGAGAGAGAGAGAGAGAGAGAGAAAAGAACAAAAATAAAAAATGGATTACCGCCGGTAAGTAGTTGTAAGGAGGATCAAACGGCAACTGTGACAGGACGAGGAGAGGCTATTGACAAGTTTTTCTTTTCATTATCGTTTTTTTTTGTTTGTTTTTTTTTATTATTTTGTTTTTGGCGGTTTCGTGAATCACATAGGAAGATCATCCGCAGCATCGATCAGCCGACGAAAATGTAACGGAGCGCGGCGTACAATAACCCAGCGACTGATAAGAGGAGGCACGCTTGCGCAGCCGATCACCGGGGGTTTTCTCCTCCCCCTCCACCATCTCATCCACCCCCACTCGACACCACACACCCCCGACTCCACGACGCAGGGACATCACGAGGTTATGGTCGCGCTTCTTCGTCACCGATTCACCGTCGCTCTCCCAGTCACGTTGCGCGCGCACTCGCGCCTCGCTCTCACAGGTGGGTGATGATTATGTCATCGTCGATGTCGTCCTTCTCGTCGTCCGTCTCTTCCGGCTGGTTAGCCTCGGCCTGGGCAGCCTTCGGGTCCTCAGCAATGGCCTTGAGCCGCTTCTGCTTGCGCCGGTGCAGCAGCTCGACAATAACGTAGCCGATGCTACCGATTATCAGGACGTTCAGCATCACATAGAGCTTCATGCGGGCGCAAAGGTGCGTACTGTAGGCGTAGGCGACGACGAAGCCCGCCGACTCCCAGAGCCGATAATTCGAGAAAGCGGCCTCCTTGTTCCGTCGAAACAGCGTACCGTAGAGGCCTACACACAGAGGGATGAATTATTAGCCATCATACAATGAGCAATTAATTACATTAATTACTTTTCCAGGATTTGCGTATATTCATTTTTACAAAATCTTTCACTTAACATATTCAATTTTTCATAGTTTCTTTTCTTAGATGATTGGTTTTGTTTTGGTTTTTATTTTTGTTTTTATAATTTTGACTTTGAAATTCATCGATATTAACAAAATATCAACAAGTTCTTATTTTCAACATTTGGATGATAACCATTTCGTTATATTTATTAATGTTCAACCTTACGTGATAAGGTCGCAGAAATTGTGTTAAAATGCAAGAGTGTACAGAGTCGTAGAAATTTCAACAAAAATTAAATTTTGCTTTTATTTTTTGAAAGATTTGAAATTACGTTAGTACACTTATTCGATATCGTTTAAAATCAATTTTTTACCCTCATTTGATTTATATGTATATGTGTGTATGTATGTATAGATTCGTTATACACGATGTTTATCAATTCTGGAATAGAAAGTACTTTTTAAGAATTTTATATTTTATACAAAATTAATAGGATTTATATTTATAGATTTATGTAGATTAATATGTTGTGCATTAATGAATGTATAAGCTATTAAATTCTCGGTCTTGTGAATTCATAATAATTTGTTTTTAATAATGATAGAAAAATTTGCTCTTTAATATCAAAATCTAAATTATTAAATACAAAATTTATTTTATGCGCATTCACACAAGTCTTATCTTAAAATGTAAAGATTACAATTTATAATTAAAGGTTGCGTTTAAAAAAGAGATGTAACTTAATATTTATATGAGAATTTTTTAATAAATTAGTGAAATTCTTTTAATATATTTTATATCAATTATTAATCAATAATCATTAGAGACTAAAGGAAATAAATTGCTTCTGTATTTATTGCCGTACGAACAAATTTTAATTTATAAATTCATATTATATTAAAAAAAAAAAACATTTATGTTTAATTTAATATCCTAAATATACCACATAAATAACAATGCTGAAATAGATTTTTGGTAGAGAAGGATGGGCGATGTACAGTATATTAAAAATATACGAAATGAAAATAATATATACTATAGCGTATATTAATTAAAAATATAGTTTGAAAATATATATTTTAAATTGAACAAGGAAGAAAATAATTTCGTTTTCATTTAATAATAATATTATTATTGAAATATATTATTAAAATAAAATTTGTTTCTACTATTATTTTAAAATCACATAATATATTTTATCGATCTTTATTAAACAGCTATGAAAAAATATATGATAATTAGAAAGTATATGATTTTTATTATTGTTATTTATTACATTATTTATTATATATAATATATTTCTTTCAATACTCAATACTTCTGTAATACTAATGATTAAATTAAAAAAAAAAATTTTTTTCGCTAGTAAGAATATTCAAATGTTCCCCCACGTAAAGACATTTTTATAGTACCTTATTGTTTAGAAATTACAACATATAATTAAAAGTACATTCGAGTTAATTTATGACTTGATTATAAATATATTAAATGTGTCAATAATTATTATAAAATATTTTAAGTGCCATCTCGTATACATTTTTTTTTTTTTTTTTTTTTTATTACATTACTAGGAATAGACTTATGAAAAATGAAAAATTGTTCATAAATGCTGACACATATGATTTATTAAATTGAAAAATACCTTTACAAATGCAATGAACATAGGTAAATATAATTTATGAAAATGTTACAATGATGTAAAAATTTTGTTATAAAGTTATTGTAAGCTTAATCTGAAAAATTGTTGTTTAATTCATGAATGATGATTTCTCTTAATTAACTATTACCTATTCATTAATTAACCAGCTCATTATACATATTACGATGGGCTTTTTAATTTCAAACAATCTTACAATAATTTACAATAATCTATTGTACATTGGTAATTTGTATTTGATGTAAATTTACATTCCCTAGCTATCACTATCTTTCCTTTTGTATTAATAATTTATAAGGACAATTTATCGAATATTTAAATATATTTGTTAACTGAAATTATATATTATAAAGCAAAAAAAAAAAAAAAAAATTTACGCGACTTCGAATATTTTGTTATAAAAGCAGTCCTATTCCGATGCAATAAACAGTAATTTCGTATTCGTTTACTAAAGGTTGATGAAAAATATTTAGCTATTAAATGAAATCCGTTTGTAAATTATTATATCGATAAATTACAAGTTTTTTATATTGAATTTTAAGACGAACGTATATCAAATCCTTAATCTGAATAAATTTTCTTATTCAACTTTAATCAAGAACTACTCGTCTATTTCATATTGTTAAAAAAATAAAATTCAAATAAATATATTTTATATCAAGAATACTAATATTAGTAAAGATTTGACCATACATAAATTAGCATAATTTGAAAGCTTAAAATGAAAAATGTTTTACAATATTAAGTCTACATACATCATGATTCTAAAAATAATTTGCATTCGTGTTAAGCTACGGTGGAAAACAATTAAAATTAAAATTGCACTATAAAAATTTCGAAATCGATATGACTATAAATTTTCAGTTGTAATAAATTGATAGAGTGAAGGCGTATGAATTTAACTTCATGAATATTCTTTAATACATATATTAAATATATTACTTTAAAAATGTACTTTTTAACAATATTTTTTCTTTATCCCTTTGGACACAGAATTTTGTTATTATTACTCGAACATTACACACAAACCATTTCTGCTGACGTTATAATGTAATTAATATTATTTGAGTTATAAAATAATGCCGATGTAACGAAAAATTTATCCTGATAGCAGTTTAATTGCAATGTAAAACATTTGTTTCTTAAAATACTTAGCTTAACTCGGTAATTACTTTTTTCCACGGTTCTGTATATTAAGTAAAATTTACGCGATATCAACATTAAGAACAATGACGACGCCGACGACGAGAACGATAATGACAACAACAACAACAATAAGAAATGTATTTACGGTAATAACGGCTTAATTATCAAAATTACACACGATTAACGTATGGTTGTGCGATTGTTTGTCAAGCTTTTGAAAAGGACAAAACGTAATTAATGGATTTGAGAAATAATAAGCTCTGCTAAAATAAAAAAGCGCTAGCCGAGATAGTTGCTTAACAGTATCGTTATTTCTTTTCATTGGCGAGATTAGACTTCTGAACGGGTGAAAAGCCAAATTTTGTCCCTCTCGATTCCGTAAGTCATACGTACAAACGAGAATGGCCCAGCAGCAGGGACGAGCATGAAACTCCCGTACATCTCTCATCGATCGAATCTTACGAGAATCCAGGGGCTTATCATTGGATAATCGAGCCCGGGAGTTCACTTAAAAACGGACATTACTCATGGCATACCGAGTATATGGTCATCGGGGGATGGGCTCCAGGCGCACCGATTTCACTCACTCTCTCTCTCTCTCTCTCTCTCTCTCTCTCTCGTGTACAACAGCACACCCCGTTGAAAAACCGATCGATCCATCCTCCCTGCAGGGGGCGCTCTTACGCCCCCCGTACGTGTGACACTCTTGTTGCGGTAAAGGCCGTTCGTGTTAGTCGTGTCGCACGTGCGTTGCGACGTACCGAGAAATTATGAGGGAAACCGGCTGCCGCTATGCATATACGTGCACATATACAGCGGTTGGTTGGCGCTTATTATAGGCGTGTCTCGCACGATCGTTCACTGCCTCGTTACAGTTATGTTTCAGCGACCGCGGAATGTCACCGTCATATTGACTTTCTTTCTTTCCCGGTCCCTCTCTCGCCCTTCCTTCGCGCCGCTCCCACCAATTCTTTTGCTCGAGCTTGTGCATCCGACGGAAAAAGCAAAATCGATGGCGTCGATGCACGCACCTACATTGAGAGTATAGAAGATAAGGAGCTTAGCACAGTCAAAGATCTAATCTTTAAAAAGCACTGCCTTTCACGTGGGAACAATAAATAATGGCATAAAAGAAGAAGATTTTTCTTGTTGCCAATGTGTTGTGTGTGGAGAATACGGGGATTCGGAGGTAGCTTGAACAGAATTGGTTTCAGAAGAAATGAAGAAAAAAAAATATGGAAATAAATATATAAATAAATAAATGATTAAAAAAAAGATAAAAATAAGATGATAAAGGAAGGGAAGGAGAGGAAGCTCGATGTAAGGGTATTCCAGGTTAGCTTGGGATACTTAAACGATCACATCTACCTTATGGAATTGGATTTTACATACGAACAATTGTGTTTCATATCTTTCTTTTAAACTCGCATTATTTGCCGCTCGAATTGGTGAGAATTTTTCAAATTAACCGGATGAAAAATCTAAAACAATACGCCTGATAAATCCACTTAGGTTCGATAATTTCGCATTTCTTTCTCAAACACTCACTCGCTCGTTCTTCCATCTATTTCAAGCATTTAAATTTCATTCTCAAATTGAAGCTTTTCAAATACAAAGAGAGAGAAAGCTTTTCATACACACTCCCGCTCTCCCACCATTTCACTGTCTTCCTCTCTCTCTCTCTCTCTCTCTCTCTCTCTCTCTCTCTCTCTCTAGGTGTTTGTGTGTGTGTGCGTGTGTGTGTGTGTGTGTTTGCATGTGTGTTTGCATGTGTGTGAAGTCATCTATTGCAAGAAACGGAGAAATGGCACGTGCAACTTTTTTAACTACGACAAGTTCTTTACTTCGCTCTTACCATTTCGGTTTGAATTTTTGTTTTGTTTTGTTTTGTTTGTTTTTAATTAAATGGCAGTGACTAAATCCTTGGAGTGCATGCACTAATGTTGCGCACAGTTTTTTATTTAGACGCAAAGCCCAGTCGTAGCGTGATTTGCCTCGCGGGTGGCAAAGTATGCGCACGGCGGAGAATAAGAGAGAGGAGAATATGGATGGTGTTTTATCAGGTGCAACTATACGTTGGAGAGTTTTCACGCTCAATGACTAGAAAAGGGCGCGGAAGAAAAATATTTAATGCAAAT